TTGAACTTGTAGGTTTATGTCTTTTGTCAATTTGGAAAGTTTTTAGCTGTTATTTATTAAAGCAGTTTTTAAGCACCACCCTCTTTGTCTTTCTAGCTTGGATTCTGATGGCACATATAATAGATCTTCTGTTGTGGTTCCAGAGGTTCCTAAAGCTCTTTGGGCTTCTTCCCATTCTGTTTTCTCTCTGTAGCTCAGCATGTCTAATTGCTATCTTTCAGTTTTCTTGTTCACTGATTCTTCCCTCTGTCACTTGCATTCTGCTATTGAGCTCATCCATTGAGGGTTTTTCCCTTAATTGGTTGTTTTACTTTTTTAATTCTAAAGTTTGTATTTGGTTATTTATGTGTTCTGATTTCTCTGGTGAGATTTTTTTTTTTCTCGAGTGATGTTCACTATTTTTTTCCATTTGCTTCAGGCATGTTTCTAATTGGTAGTGGTTGAAGCATCTTTATAATAATAGCTGCTTTAAAATCTTTGTTAAGTAATTCTTACATTTCTGCCATGTCACTGTTAGCATCGGTTAATTGTCTTCTTTTATTCAGTTTGAGATTTTTCCCTGTTCTTGGTATAAATCTTTGTATAAGACTCTGGATTTTTTTCAGTGTCATAAATATTTGTATATTAAGCAGATTTATTAAACATAATTTACTTAAATGAACAATTTGGTGGCTTATAGTACAAACACAGATATATGAAATCATCACCTTAGTCAACTTTATAACATTTAACATTTTTATAACCTCAAAAAGAGACTTCCTATTTTTTAACTATCACCCTATTATCCCCCATACCTCCAGGCCTAAGTAACTACAATAGCTTTCTCTCTTTATGGATATTTCATATAAATGAAGTCAAAATATGTGGACTTTTGAGACTGACTTCTTTAATTTAATGACTTTTAATGATGTTTTTAAGGTTCATCAACTTGTAACAAGTTTCAAAACTTCTTTTTTTGGGCCAAATAATTGTCCATTGTATACATAGACCACATTTTTGTTTATCCATTCATTAGTTGATGGGTATTTGGTTTATAATTTGGGGATGTTATGAATAATACTTCTAAATAGTTGTGTACAAATTTTTGTTTGGGCATAATTTTTATCTTGGTTACACATCTAGGAGTGAAATTTCTGGGTCAATGGTAGCTCTATGTTTAATTATTTGAAGAACCATCAGGCCATTTTCTAAAGTTCTATACCATTTTGCTTTCTTACCTTCAGTGTACAGAGCTCCAATTTATCCATGTCTTCATTAATACTTGCTATTATCTGGAGTTTTGATTATAGCCATCCTATTTAGTTGGTTAGCTCATTGATCTCCTTGTGGGTATTGTTTACATTTCCCTGATTCTAAATAATGCCAAGCATTGTTTCACATGCTTGTTACCGGGCAAGATTACATTAAAACACATCACATGCTTGTTACCCATTTGGATGTCTTTCTCAGAAAACTTTAGATTTTTTTGTCCATTTTAAAGTAGGGTTAGTCTTCACTTTTATTATTGATATCTAAGAGTTCTTTATATAATGTTGAAGCAAATCCCTTATCAGATGTATGATTTATAAGTACAGTCATGCATCATATAATAACAGGGATTCATTCTGAGAAATCCATCATTAGGCAATTTTATTGTTCTATGAACACCAAAGTATACGTACACAAACCTATATTGTATAGGTCAAGCACTCTATGTATGAAGACACTGCTGGCCTAATGGCATACTTTATAGTAAATTAATTTTTTATAAGTAGAAGAAATATACATAAAATAATAATAAAAGTGTAGTTTGGTAAATTCATAAACCAGTGTCAGTTGTTCATTATCATCACAAAGTATAATATCTGGTACATAATTATATGTGCTATACTTTTATATTACTTAATATGACTGTCAGAGCAGTAGGCTTGTTTATACCAGCATCAACATAAACACATAAATAATGCATGCATCACATTGTGACATATGATGGCTATGATGTCACTAGATGATAGGAAGTTTTCAGTTGTCCCAAACATCATTATTTAGGGACATGATTATGTTTTTTATTCATACTTTGATTTTTTTTATTATGTGGATGATAGTATCTTTTAAAGCAAAAAAGTTTTTAGTTTGGGTGAAGTTCAATTTAGTGTGTGTGTGTGTGTGTGTGTGTGTGTGTGTGTGTGTGTGTTGCTTGTGCTTTTGGTGTCAAAACTAAATCTTATAAAACAGATCATGAAGAATTATTCATGAATTTTCTTATAAGAGTTTTATAGTTTTGCTCTTTCATTTGGATCTTTGTTTCATTTTGAGTTAACTTTTGTATATCATAAAGAGGGAAATTCTTTCTTTCTTTCTTTCTTTTTTGGCATGTGGCTATCTAGTTTTCCAGCATTGTTTGTTAAAGAGATTGTTCCTTCTTTGTTGAATTGTTTGGATATCCTTGTAAAAACAAATATCCACCAACCATAGACATATGGTTTACATGTCTATCTGTATGCCAGTGCCATTGCTTAAGTAAATTTTGAAACTAAAAAGTATGAGTGAACATAACTCTTCTTTGTGAAGATTGTCTTGACTATTTGGGGGTCCTTTGTAATTCCGTACAACTTGATTGGTTTTTTGATTTCTAGAAATAAAAGATCTCTGAAATTTGATAGGAATTGATTTAATTCTGTAGATTGCTTTAAAAAGTACTGACATTTTAACACTATTTATCTTCTTACTCATGAGCATGAGATCTCTTTCCATTCTTTTAGGGCTTCTAAAATTTCTTTCAGCAATGTTTTGTAATTTCCAATGTACAGTTGTTTAACCAGCTTGGCTATATTTATTACCAGGTATTTTATCCTTTTGGATATGATTGTAAATGAAATTGATATCTTAATTTTCTTTTTGGATGTTTTCCATTGGCAGTATATAGGAGCAAAACTGATTTATGCAGTTTGACTTTGTATATTGCAACTTTAATTTATTTATTAGTTCTAGTCATTCTTTTAGATTATTTAGGATTTTTTACATATAGAGTCATGTCATCTGTGAACAGAGATTGCTTCCACTTTCCAATTTGAATGTCCTTCATTTCTTTTTCCTGCCTAATTTTCCTGTTTAGAACTTTCAGCATAATGCTAACTAGAAGTAGTAGGAGTGGATTTCCTTCTCTTTTTCCTGATGTTAGGGGAAAAGCATCCAGTCTTTCACCATTAAATATGATGTTATCTGTGGGGTTTGGTAAATGCTATTTATAAGGCTGAAAAAATTCCCCTTTTTTCCTAGTTGGATGGCTTTTTTTGGGAGGGGGGTCTCTAAAGGGTTTTAGATTTTGTCAAATATTTTTATACATCTATTTATATACCTATTTTATATATCTATTAAAATAATCATGAATTTTTATTCTAATGATGTGGGGCATTACATTATTTTCAGATGTTAAACCAACCTTATTGCCTTATTAGTATTAAATTCTATATGGTCATGTTATATCATTATCTTTATATGTTTCTGCAATCAGTTTGCTAGTGTTTTGTCAGTGATTTTTGCATTCATATTTATAAAAAATACTGGTCTGTAGTTTTCTTCTCTTATGATGGCTTTGCCTGGTTTTTGTATCAGGGTCTTATAAAATGTCTTGAAGTGTCCTTTATAAAAAAACCTTTGGTTTCTTTTTTTGTCTTTAATTTTTAAAAATCTGTTATTAATATAGTCTCTTCAGTTTTCTTATGGCTATTGTTTTTTTGTGACACATCTTTTTCACTTCTCATTTTGCTTTGTTTGTATCTTTCAATCCAAAATCTCCTGTAGACCAGTATTTTTTATAACTATTCACTTAGGTCTTGTTTACATTTTGTCCAATCTGACAAAGTTGGATTGGGTGGTTTAAGTTATATCTAAGTGTTTGGCATTCTGGAATATCAAACAAATAGATAATAATTTTCAACTTTCAAAAATTATTTATTGTTAACTTATAAAATATAGTTAGGTTTTTTTAATTCAGATATCTTGCTAAATTTTTCCTAATTGTAGCAGTTATTATTGGATTTCTAAATTTTTGTTTGTGCATAATATTAATTGTAATTTTATTTTTATTTATTTTTTTCAAACCATATACAATTTACTTCCTTTCTCTATGTTACCTATAGGTTTTTGTGTTTTTAATGTATTCCATACTTTTATCTCACAGTTTAGCAAAGTTATTTTGTGAAGTTCATTAATTCTTTTTTCAGTTGTGATCATTCTTTTAAATCCATATCTAGAGTTTTTAATTTCCGTTAATTCATTTTACAGAAAAAAAATTTATTTTTTAATTTTTCATTGATTGCACATCTCCTGCAAAACTCACCATATTGCATTTTTGGAGCATATTACTTGCTTTATTTTAGGGCCCACATCTGATAACTCTTATACCCACATACATGTGTGTATGTTTTATTGTATTTTTCTGTTGGTCCTTTTTAATGGGCACATCTAGAACTTTATGTTTAACTGCTGAACATTTTCTATGAAAGTTCTGTTTTAGAGACTCTAGGTGATGTTATCTTCTCCAGAGAGGACTCTCTTTCTGGCACGTGGTTGGAATAGAGGCAGGCAGGTCACTGCACTGCCATCAGGGATTGGGCTAGTTGGTTGTGGGTTTCAGTCTTGTGAAGCCTGGTAAATTTCTAGTCTTTCTTTATCTTTATGGTGTAGCCCATCAGAAATCCTACCTTAAAGTCTTTATCCCTTGAATTTCTCCAGGCTGAGACTGCTAGGGCTTTACATATCTTATCAGTCTCTCAGCCTTACACTTCTTGTGTATCAGCAGCTGCCTAAAAGAGGAACATCATCGAAGGCTAAGACAGGAGGACCTTAATTTCCAAACCCTAAGCAACTCAGTTGAGACTTTCTCTAAATAAAATTTGAAAGGGGGCTAAAGATGTGGCTCAATGGATAAGTGTCTCTGGGTTCAATTCCTGGTACTAAAACAAAAACCTAAATTCATAAGTGTCATTAAGCTATGGCTTGTTTTCTCTTTTCTCCAGGATTTTGTGTCATGTATAGAGAACTACAGAAGAAAAGGACAGGAGCTATATGCATCTTTATACAAAGACCATGTACAGGTAAAAACCAGAACATATCTTTTCTCTACAGAGTGCACTTCAATCTACCTTGAATCTTAAAAAAAAAAAAAGAAAACGGGGCTTTTAGTTTTAGATTGTATAAGACAATAATTGGTCATCAGTGATTCATTCTACTTACACGATCCATGTAAGATCTAAAGTCAGCAACTAAGGAGACTCATCTACTCATTTATGCACTCAATAAATAGGTTTTGGGAACCCAGGTGCCTCAGAATCTACTGGGAACTAGGAGCACATTACAAAGATTTCAGGCCCAGGCCTCCCTCACCCTCAAACAGATTCATGGTAAAGGAGAAATATACCCTGAATAACTTCACAAACCAATAGATTATCATAACTTATGGTGGGTACTTGGCAGGGAAAGCAGAGGTACAATAACAAGGAAGGAATCTAATTTGGGCAACTCAAAGGTCTTGTCCAAGAAAGTGACCATTTAAACTGAGATCTGAAGAAGAAGGAATATTGCCGGAAGAGTGGTTTGGGCTAAGGAGAGAGCATGGGTGAAGGTCCTGAGGCAGGAAGGAGCTGGATGCCATTGATTAACTAGAAGTAGCTGGGAGGACCAGGGTTAAGCAGGGACGATGAAGGACTAGGGCCATGTTAGGGATTTTGTTTTTTTTCCCAGGTGCAATGGGTTGCTGCTGATAAGGGCAGGTTTGGGTATTTTAAGCACCTATCTAGGTATGACTTTTGTGTTGACAAGGCATGCTCTTGAAGACTGTCCTCAGGATCAGCAAGCATGACTGGTTTCTCCAGCTGCACAAGTTGTTGATATTTCAGACTCAGTTTGGATTAGAAGTTTGCTTTGAGCATCTACCTTACTCTAGTATTGCTATCTGTACCCTGTATAGATGGTAGGGGGTTTTGCTGGCTTCATGGGTGCTAACTGTGCCTGGACAGACCCTTATGCATTCATGTGTCATCATATGGACTCACTGATTTTGTCTAAGGTGAGCAGTGTGTCTAATCAAATCAGTTTCCATTGAGGGAAAAAAAAAGAATTGCTTAGAATTTCATCCTTTGTTGGGGACATTCTTATGATACTTGCACTGTTTCTAGGCAGAGGATGTTGTATATCTAAACTTCCAAATCAGCATCTTGTCAGGAGCATGACCATTTCTGTTGGGAGAGCCTAGAAGATTTGGGTGTGGTGAGGAGAAAGGTATTCAGTGATATTTTGTGTGTTTCTGCTGAATTTGCAAAATTGCAGATTCATGTAAGGAGGATGGAACCGCAGTAGAGGTTCTAATCCCAGAAGGGAGGAATCCACCCTCCTGGAATGATGGCCTGGCTCATTTTCATTAGTGGAGCATGACTGGGGTTTGGAAAGTACTTGAAAAATTTGTATAGTTTTACTGTTGATTAAGTATTTTTGAGAAAAATCAGCATTTTAGAGTTAATCCATGAGGATGCATTCCAAGTGTTTAAATATTTAAAACATTGTTTTGATGTTTAAAAGAATGCAGATATAATCACTGTCTGCTGGAGATAATGGGGTCTGGAGCAGTCACCCCACTTTTGTAAGGGGCAGAACACTTTCCACCACAGACCTCACTCCACTTCCAGAAAAATCAAGAGTCAAATTCTGAACAGAAATCAGTCTTGTGAAATCTGCTCCATTTATTCAGGGATGCTTCTCCCAAGTACACCCAAATAGATACTCCCCACAAGGTTAGTGACAATGAGGTTCAGGGACCCTTGCCCACGGGGCTGTCAATAAATGGCCATGTAAAACTTCTATGTCCTGGCACTTTACCTTCCTCTGAGAGGTCACTGGACATGGCGGAAACCCACAGCTTGATAAGGTGGCTTTGCTCATTGCCCTGGAAGTTAACCCCAGCATCGTTATATTAGCAGCAAATATCACATTCCTGGTAATTGATCTGCCACATTTCTGCTCACTCCAGAAACACTGGCAGGAATAGTTCCCTCTACACTGATTTCCTTTTGTTTTGCCCAAGTGCCATTCATCCACTTCTCTATGGTCCATCTACACTATCTTGTTCTTATGTCAGGGCTTCATCACAATTCCCAGGAACACCTCATCCTGCTATTGCCATCTAAAACTTTACATGTTGAAGCTCTTTGTGAGATGCCAGCCACCTCGAAAAGTGGTCTTTCTCTTAGTATGTAAGGGGCTGTTCTGCTTGTTCTCATAAGGGCTCTCTATGGGTCCAGGAGCTCTTCCTGTCTTGTTCAGTCTCTCTTCTCATTAAGTATTTGTCACAACTCCTTTAGATGCAAGGATCAGAAACTAGCTCTAACTGGCTTTGGGTTATTTAAAAAAACGTTTTTATTCATGCCTTATGGTTATATGTAATATTGGGTTTCCTTTTGACATAATCTTACATATGTAGAAGTTAATTTGCTCCATTCAGTTCCCAGGATTTCCTCTTTCCCTTTCCTTCTCCCTCCTCCTGTTCTTCTTCCTCTCCTCTATGAGTGTTCCTCCTATTTATTAATAGTTTTTAAAAGTGATTCTTTATAGATGCACATTAAGGTGGAAGTCACTGTTGTGTATTCATATGTGTCACATAATTTGGTCAGTTTCATTCCACAATTTCTCCCTTTTCCCGTCCCTCCCGCTCCCCCTCTGGTCTCTCCCTCTGATCTCCCTTCTGTTTTCATGGGGTCCCCCACCTCTTGCCTTTCTTCTCTCAGTTTGCTCTAGCTTTTACATATGAGAGAAATCATCTGATCCTTGATTTTTGAGAGTTTGAGAGTTTGCTTATTTCACTTAGCATGATGTTCTCCAGATCCATCCACTTACAAACATTTTGGATTATTGAAGAATGCAATTGAAGAGTGGTCTTCAAACAGAGTTATCCAAATATCATGTATTCATTCTCTCTCTCTCTTGCTCTCTCTCTCTTCCTCCCTCCCTCCCTCTTCCCTTTTTTCCTTTCACACACATCACACATGTTCATGTAAACTCACACCCACACCCATATGTATGAGATTGCTGATGACTTTGAGGACACATGCACATGGATGAAGGTGCAAGTGGTTCTGCTGTGAACTCATGCTCTGCTCACCAAGCCATAAATCCTGGAACAAGACCATTTTCTAATTTACACAAAGTCACTCTCATACCTAAGCTGCGCGCCCATAGGGCTATACATGCCCAGGGCCCACTTCTCCTGATCCACACAAAGGTGTTCTGTGTATATTTCAGGGTGTAGGGGGAACTGCATGTGTGTGTGTGCATTCACCCCTCTGCTTCCTCTGCCTTGGTTCCAGAAGGCACCATGCCCAATGCAGGGCATGATGCTCATTAGCCTATCCTACAACCCTTTACAGATTAGCCAGACTTGGGTGAAGCATTCAAACCTGAATTCAGCCCCACCAGTGCAGCAGAGACTTAAAGTCGTAAAAGAATGGTTTCCCAAAGGCAAATCTAAGTGTTGTTACCCAAGTATTTCTGTTCAGTCAAATATCATAGCCACCTCCTACATAACAGAATCACTGCCTGTGAGTCTCAGGAGTGGCATTTGGTCCATTTGGGGTTTGAACTAAGAGAGAACCTTATACTGTGCAGAAACTTGGGCATTTCAGAGCACCTTTGCAGGTGTGGGAACCCAGGGCTTTTGCAATTTAGTAATCTAGCATCCTTTGTCCTGGGCTCACATGCAACTTGCTGTCATGAACTTAGAAATCACTCATCTCTCAGCAATTTTCCCATTGCATACCTGGCTGCTAATGTGTGTCCCATGATGAAGATTCAGGCAGCTGTGCACCTCCAGTTTTGCAATGATGGAGTAGAGAGGAACAAGACCATTTGGGGTAGAGAGGGTGCTCTTGAAAGACTAATTTGAGTCTCAGACTGGATAACCCAATGATTTGGAATTGTTCATTCTCTACAAAGCTCAACATGTTACTCAAACACAGCAATAATGTCCCATCCAGGGAACTGCAATATTTTCTCCAAACAAGCACTCATTTCATATGATCAAATGTCTCTAAAATGCTCTGGATGGTTGTTATTTTCTGGGCCTCCTTATTAACCCACCAGAATCTTTATATAAAATGCTGTGACTGTTTTGGATATGAATTTAGGCACTGTAGAGGAACAAAAATCTCGTGTTGAAATGGGATTAGCTCATTTACAATAATAACACTGACTGCCTGAACGGGGTTAAGCACTACATTAAACTTGTGAAAATATTGTCTCATTTAATCCTTCCATAAGTCTGTAGTTTTATTATGTTAATATTATTAGCCAAATTTGACTGATGAGGATGCTAAAGCTCCTTTAGAGTCAACTGCTGGCTAATAGTGGAAACATGATGACAAGCCAGGCTCACTGGACATCAAAGAACTTGTGCTGAGGACTATCCCCCCTGCCATGTTTCTATGGGAAAGCTTCTAGCAAGTTCTGAGAATGATTTACTCATTCGAAATGGCTGAGAGTTGCAAGGCCTACATCCTAAAGTCTTTCAATCACTGAAGTAGTGCTAGTAGAAACCACGAGTCCATAAAATGATGATCAGCCCTGCAGCAAAGGGATCTAGCTCACAGGCTCATGGGAAGACTTTGGAATATGACAGACTGGGTAAAATCTGTTTGGCCACCTGTTGGATTTTGGAGACATCGCTTCTGTTCCAGAGTTAGTATCTGCATGGGAATGATAGAAAATTTATGCTCACAGTGTTTACTAGGTAAAGAATATGAAATCAAAAGGCCAGAGGTTCAACTTAAGGCATGATCACAAGTTGTTTTTCTGTTTATGTTAAGTTTTTGAAACCTCTGTTTCCTGTTATTAGCACTTTCTGTTTTCTGAAACATTTAAATTCAATAGGGCAAATTCCATCAAGTATTTGAATAATTACAAAAGTTCACTGTGAAGACAGTTAATTCTACTGTCCAAACTGTACAGTATGTTGCTTTGACGGATAATATATAAAACTCAATGTGGCCTGCAAAAGCAATGTAGGATGTCGATTTATTTTTATCAAGACTTAAATTGTATTCTAGTAGAAGGTGTTACAGTTGAAAACCACACAAACTGTGAAGATTTCACAGATATTAGATAAGATTATTTTTATTAAAAAGCTTTTGTTTCTGTGAACATTCTAGAATCCTTGAACATTCAAGAATCATATGATATTAGGAATCAAGAGGCTTTTAGATCTCAACCAGGCTAAGCCTCTCATTGAATAGTTGGAGATCCTGAGGACCAGAGATGAGAATGGTCATGCTCAAATAATCCAACTGTCAGCAGGGCTTTTAATTCCTACTCTACCTCCAGTCTGGGTGGACAGGAAGAAGTATTTTCAGCATCATTTTGGAAGGATAGAAGTTATGGATAGATAGAAAATTTCTGTCCATTCTGAAGGGTAGAGGCTGTGATGAAATCCTACACCTAATTTTTACAAAGCAGCTGACTAATCCACTCTGATAAGTAGCTTCAGGGACTTCAGGACCTGTTGCTTTCTGTCCAGGGCCAGCAGTCTAATGGTTCTGAGGGTGAGTAGACAGTTTTCTCCTCCCTTTACTTGGACTGAATAATCTCAAAGCTGAGAAATGCTCAATGACAAAGTACTTGTGCTGCAGACAATGGCTACCACCTGGCTCTTTCCAGACATTAGTATTTTCCTTCTCCTGGTTTGGTCCTGGATCCAGAAAGAGCACTGCACAATCATGAGAGTGTTCAGAGCTACCTAGAGGGTGCAACTCTTTCAAACATTTATAAGGAACTCGGTCAGTTCACCTTTGGAGGTTTGAGGCCATGCCTCTAAGGAAAATGTGTCCAGGGATGATGTCATATTTCTGCTTCCCAGAGGCGGAGATGTTGCAACATCAAGGCAGCCAATGCCTGGGCCAGGATCCGGGAGCAGCTTTTTGGGGAGCTGGGCCTATGGGGCCAGATGGCAGAAACCACGTTCTGCTCCCGGTGGGAACTGGACTGGAGAGAAGGACCGGCTCGCATGAAGAAACGCATCAGACGGTTGTCTCCATGGGAGGTCCGGAGCCCAGAAAAGTGCAAGGTAGGCATTGGGTATAGCGGGATGATGATATCAGTTTCCAGATGGTAAACAGAAAGGGAAGTGGCTCCGTAGCTTTCCTGTCTAATGTTCTCTTCATATAAGAGCAAGAATGTAAATGTAGAAGTGTTGCATAACTTATTCTTGATGTCATTTAGTAGAAGAAAATAAACACTAATCATCTCAGGTACATAGAAGCAATGCTATAATTATAACCAGAAAGGATAATTGAATGGATAAATGAGCGAGTGGATGGATGGCAGAGTGTTCATTCCTGTGCCCTTGACCCTGCACCACACTACAGTCCACAGAAGTCCAGGGAAGTAATCTGGATACTAATGTCTGGTAAGAGCCAGGTGGTAACCATTGTCTGCAGCTCAAGTTCTTTGTCTTTGAGCATTTAGAACGTGCACTGCTGTGCACATTATTTATTGCACTAGCAAATCCTGTAACAAATTTTACAGTGAAAATCTTTTGAACTTAGTGAATTCTGCAAACTCAAGCCAGTGGCTCCCTTAACCACATGGTACTTAAGTTGCCTTGATTTTCCTGGCAGTGCCTGGGAGTTTGCTCTAATGAAGCTCATACCATCATCAAGCTCACTTTTGTTGTTGTTGTTGTTGTTGCCTTTTGAGGGCTGGGTAGACAGTTGGATTCATCTCATAGTGGTAGAAAGACCTGTTAATAACTTTTCATGTTCTAATTGAGCAATCATAATTTAAAATATCCTAAAAGGCAGCCTTCCAAGCACTGGGATGCTGGATATTTTCTTCTACATTCATCCCAAGATATGACATTGATTGTGTTCTCTGGTCTATAACCCCAGTATCTTTTAATCCATACTAAAAACTCCTAAAGAGAAAATTACATTTCATTTATTCAATAGACAGTTGAGGTTGTTTTTTTTTTTTTAATTGTTGTCAATACATGTCTGGAAGTGTGCAGTATTTTTTCCTCAATATATTTCTTAGGAATTGGAGGTAGGGAAAACAATTAGCTTGCTCATTGTGTGGATGACAGTGCCCAAGGTTGGCTCTGAAACTGGTCACTCAGGCTGTCCAGCCCCAGATCCTCTCCCTGTCCCCTTTACAGAGGGGTCTGCACACAGACATATCCAGCATGCTATCTAACCTCATTTTGGCACCATCTTTGGTAATTACTGTAAATCCTATTTAATGGAAGGTTGTGGGTTTTCTTCTCTTTTACTCAGGAATATTAATATTTACATGTTACTATGTCCTTTAGGATTTAGCATTTCCCTCCCCTTGCATCTGAGTCGTAATTAAGGAGGAGAGCATAAACCCAGCATACAGAACTTAATTTCTTTTTCTCTGGTCTCATTTCAGGAAGGCCAAGACAGAAAGGGTGATATTTCTCAAATCAATGCTGAAAAACAAGGTATTGAGTTTATTTTTTTTCTATTTTTCCTTTTAATAATTAAATTAATTTTTAATCTAATATCTTGCTAAATATACTAGATTAATATTTTAGAGAATAAAATACTGCAGGGCTAGAATAGACAACGTTAGGATCTTTCACTATTGTGTTTCCAGGATAAAGAGGACCTTATTCTAGACCAGGACACTCTATTAGGGGAGGAAGTTTGTATTAAGTTTGGAAAAAAAAAAAAATATATATATATATATATATATATATATATATTTTTTTTTGCAGCAGCAGCAGCAGGTCAGTGGTGGGAGTTGAGCTGTCCTCTCAATATCCTATATCTGGGAGATATTAAAAGTGTCCCCATACAATTCAAATACATGCTTAAAAAGTGACCAAAATTGGGCTGGGCATGTGGCTCAAGCGGTAGTGCGCTCGCCTGGCATGCGTGCGGCCCAGGTTCGATCCTCAGCACCACATACAAACAAAGATGTTGTGTCTGCCGAAAACTAAAAAAAATAAATATTAAAATTCTCTCTCTCTCTCTCTCTTAAAAAAAAGTGACCAAAATCACAGGAGGAAAATAATAAGATGGCTCAGAATAAAAATGGCTGAGATAGATATTTAATACTTTTTACACTGAGCTCTCTGTTTATGAAAATGATAGATAAAATAGTCATTATTATTCCTTGATTTAAAGAAAATGCTTGGAATCATTTTTTATGTTAATGCTTCTTCTTTACTTGTGCAAGTCTCATGGAGAAATTTGGTTGAGTTTATTTGCTAAAAATGAAATATTTATCTTCAAAGGTCATTTTGGCACAAACACATCTGAACACCTACATTGTACTTCATGAATTATATTTCAAAATTTCTGTTTTTCCCCAAAGACAGCCCTTTGGTTCTAACATTCCCAGTCTGTAAACTTCATTGCATCCTAGGCTACTACCAATGTCTATTCCTCAGCCCAGTGACAACCTCTTGACACTAATCAGGCTTGATCATTTACTGCCTGAGTAGCAGGTTTTGCACTGAGCTTCCTGCTTACCAGTCTGCAGGAATACAATCCCAGAAGTGAAAATCTTGGGCTCTTATCCCGAGTTGCTTTGGGAGTCCCACTGTGACACAAGATATGTATGACATTGAAATACATATTTGTTTCTTTTTGCTGTACCATAAGCTCCACAACTCCTACATCAGTGAAACAATCACTTGTTCTACATCTTTGAGATGGGGACTAGAGAGAGTGCAGTGGAGGGAAACATGTGCTAGCTTTATGTGACCTATGGCCATGGGCTGTTTCACCCTCTGCTTCCTAAAATGCAGAATACCTGGGCACCTGTGACTCTGGGTCTCTGTGGTATTTTCAGCATAGACCCTAGACTGGGAGCTCAGCCAAGAGAGGAGAACGGTCTGTGGTTCTCCATCATACCTTTCCAGAATGTTCCTTATGGGAACATTCTCCCTGCATTAAGCAAAGTCTATGATGGCTGTCACTGTGAGCATCAGACACTTGTTGCATTCATCCAGATGTGAGACTGCCAGGTGGTGGAGATCAAAGAGCTCAGCTTCTTGGCATAAAGAAAATGGCCCATGGCTTTGCAATCATGAGCAATGTGTCTGCTCTAGGGACATTCAGGACATGTGGGTGGAGGAAGAATGAGATCCAGTAATCTAGGTAGTTATATTCTTGGCATAGACTCACATGTCTCTATCCTTGGAAAATAAATCTAGACAAGGACACAAATTTGTGCAGTACAGTATATTCCTGGTAGAGCAGGTGTAAAAACCATCTGTATCTCTAAAAATCAGAAGATGGATTAGTTGAAATAGACACATTTTAGAATATTTCACCACCATTTAAGTTATTCCAGAAACTTTCAATGGAATGTGAAAATGCTTATGATATAATATTTTTTTTTGTTTTTCTTTTGGGCAATGCTAGGGACCAAACACAGAGCCTTGCACATGTTAGACAGGTATTCCACCAGGGAGGCCCATTCCCAGTCCTCGTGTATAATCTTGAAAGAAAAAAATAGTAAAGAAAAACTGAAATGTAAAATTATTCTTTTCACACTAAAAATGGTATGTGTGTGCATGCATATGTGAATATGTACTGAAAATACATTGAAAATAAATCAACCAGTAAATTGGAAGCAAATGAATTGTAAACAGTGAGACCAGTCTAGAGATTGAGATCTGACTTTGATTCAGGGAGATTTGGTTCAGATTCTGCCTCTAGTTCTTAGTAGCCATGTATTCTTGGAACAAAGTAACTAGCCTCCTTCATTTGTAAAGTGAGGATGAAGTAGTATCTACAACCTAGACATGATTAGACATACAAATGCCATCAGAAGCATTGGGCACCAAGAAAGATCTCCCTGAATGGGCACTATTATTAGAGCATGGATGCAGGGCTGATATCTATTTTATTTCTCACCATCGTGGCTTTTCCAATGAGAAGATATTGCTTCCATTATTAGAAAACATCAACAACACTCTTAAGATCGAACAAAGTGAGGTTTAGAAGCAAAGCCTGGATGAACCTAGAGAGCTGCTTTTCTGGTTCGTGAGTGTGAATCTTGAAATGTTTCCCCTGTGTGGACTTGAATGTGGCAGAGGGGCCAGATCTGGGCGTACTTGGGCCTTCGGGGCTGAATCAGCTTGAAGGTGTGTTGACCACACACAGGGTCAGGTGGGGATATACCTTTTCAGAAGCAGTTGAAGGGCACACCACAATGTTTACTGCTGCCCTGGAGCACAGTTCCTCCCAGGGAGGCAAGCACATGCTGCCTGCCCTCCCTTGTGATGTCAAATGGCTCATTTTAAGACCATGTGTCCCTTTATCCTGCTGCAGATGAGCTGACTCCAAAGGAAGCCGAGAGCGAGCCTGTCGAGGTGGCGGTAGACTGCACCCAGCTGACATTCTTCCCTGCATTGCATGAAAGTTTGCACTCAGAAGATTTCTTAGAATTATGTCGGGAAAGACAAGTTATTTTACAAGAGCTTCTTGATCAAGAAAAGGTAATACTTGCTATCAGCTACTCTCAAAGACTAATAGGAAATTAGGGAGCAAGGTTTTCTATCAAGATTTATTTGACTTGCTATCAAGACTGTCAACGAGGTAATTAATGAGTGATCGGAATGGGCTCCTAAATTTGTGGGCCCAGGCAAAGGGAGCAAGTGGAAGCCTGTATACTGTGTCAAAATGTTTAAAAGGTGTAACTCAACTATCAAACTGTTAAATGAAATCTGCTCTGACTTCCTACTCTGATCTTCATAAAAACCTGGAAGACCAGATTCAAGTCAAGAATAGTTCAGATCTTTTGCCCCCTGCCCAGAATATGACTACCTTGAAGGGTGCATCCCACACTTTGAAGGGCCCTGGGCGCATGTGTTTAGACGCCCCACCTCATGTGTCCAAGCTGTCCTTATACCACTTAGGCCCAAGGGTAAGCATATGTGTGGCATTGTGCAGTTTCCAAAAGATACTGAGCTGGACTCTGCATAAGCCCAAGAGGCAGGCTAGGAAAGCTAGCAGGCAATCCAGGGAGCCTGGAGTAGGGCTAGGGTAGGCCAGTCTTGTGGGGTATAAGTATATTAATCAGGTATATTAATCAACTTTACTACAAAGAAATGCCAAAGACAAGACATTTATGATGAAGTAAAGAGTTTGTTTAGGCTCATGGCTCTAGCAGTTCAACACCAAGATCTGGCAACCCCATTGATCTGGACCTCTGTTGAGGGTACCACATCATGATGGGAGTGGTCTGCTGCTATAGGCTCGGGGACATATCTTGGGCTCACCAGATAATATAGGAAGACCTCCTTATTTTAAAGTCAACTGATTTATAACCTAATTTCATATGAAAGCCCCTTCAGAGCAATACCCAGATTAGTGTATGGTGGGATAAGCCATAGTGAGACTTTTCAGGGATATCTTTGGAATGCTACCTGGTATGTGTGGTATCCCTGGGACCCACCTTCTAGACAGCCCAGTGCCCATATGTTTCCCAGGCCAGTCTGGGGTTCCAATTATTACTGGGCCCTGGGGTTTCCAGTCAAGGCCCAGACTGAGTACCAGCCCTGACCTCTTGTAGCCGCAGATGCCTTTGACATTTGTTCTGTATATGAGAATCTGGACTTTACAGATTGTTCCTCCTAGTGACATTACCCTCAGGGGTCTTGTTGATAGGGACCAGGCTGTGGAGCTCCCAGGTGACTGACTTTTCCCATCCCTGAGGCAGGACAGCATCACCTGGAGTAAGCTGTTCTCCCACCCTCCCCTGTCTTTCATTTAAGCTTCAGCCTTTCTGGGCCTCCCTGTCGCACAGCGGGAAGCTGTCAGGAATGCTAGTGGGAGGTTTGCTGTGGCAGCAGGGATCCCCAGGATAAGCAGACAGGCACTTGTGGAACTCAGTGGAGAGTGGGGGTAGCAAGCTGTCCAACTGCCACTTAGCCTAGTGTCCTTTCATCTGCTGGAAGGGGCTGGCCCAGGGGAGCCCAAATTAGTGTTGGCTTCTGGGAACTGAAACCAGACACTGGGCTGCTGCCTGGGTAAGGCCATTCTCACAGTCTGAATAGTTGGTTCTTTGCAAGAATTGTTTTGATTTGTTTCATTGGGTTGTGTTTGTTGTCTCTGGTTTCACGCTAAATTGTGGGCCTGATTTTCCTCGGACTCAGTGGAACCAAACCAGCAGGCAGGTCTACTCTCTAGAAGCAGGTCAGGCATGCAGGTAGGCCAGGCTCCTCAGGGTGGTGATGCCCACCATGGAGGCAGAAACCTAAGAGTCATGCCCACGAGGGCAGCTGGGCTCAGGGGAAAAGCCATAGACTGGAGTCAGAGCCTTGTTCTGCTTTTTGTTGCTATTATTAGCAAAAATGTCAATAGGTGGATGTCACACACCCTTCATCTGTGTCTTTCTCATACACAGTCTTATCCTGCCATAGCATGGTGAGGGAGGCTCATCATTTCCATCATACAGATGGTTATTTGCTGGAGTTGCTGGCATTCCAGGCTGGCCTTGGAATCATATGGTCTCACACCTCTCTTACTCTCTGTTCCCGTGGGTCCCCTCTCTCTATAATCTCCCACCTCACTGTGCTGGGTATGACACACAAATTCTCCACCACTTGATCCTTCAGCAAACTTCTCATGTCTGGCTCAGAGACATTGCTCCAGGCCTCATGTGACTTTTCTAGCTAAAGCTGGTGCATGCAGACGTCTGGGTGCCTCAGCAGTACAGCTTCTCTGTCTGGGACACAGAAGGCCACCTGCCCTCCTGAACATGGCTTATCCCTGGTCCTCCATGGCCTTATCTCTGTTTTAGCATGAATCTTAGCCCTGGTTCACTATGACCTTAGCCCTGGTCCACCATGGCTTTTTGTCAAGACCAGGAACTACAGAATGAGGAAAGACAAATGGATGTACTGACCTTTGAACCACAAACATATTCAAGCAAATACACAGGAAGTTTACCCAAAGCTGTGTGTGTGTGTGTGTGTGTGTGTGTATGTGTGTGTATGTTCATGTGCGTGCACGCGCATGTACATGCACACATAGAGCCTTTTACACTTCAAAAGCAGGTACCACAGGCCTGTGTTGAGATATTTTGTAGCAAGCATCTATTGTAAACTGGGAATTCTCCTAATTCCTCAATCTCCTTAAAACCTTTGGACCTTGTGCTTTTTTCTATATTTCTAACTGAAGAATGCCGTGGACAGAGTTGCAAAGTGTATCCAACCTCCCATGACAGAGTCCCAGCTCCTCTTTTCTCTGGCATCTCAGAAGTGCTTGCACTTGTGACGGGAGGCTCCAAGGGATAACCTCCTTCAAGTCAACCTGGTGGCCTATGCCTTCTGACGGCCTCTGAAGCTAAAGCCTGCATCTGGGCCTTGGGGAAGCTGTGTCTCCAGGGGCAATCCTGTATCTCCAGGGTGGATACAGTTTAATTCATTTCTTTGTGAGAACAACAGAGTTCTAAATCACCTCCAGCAATACTTGAGACAGTAATTATTCAATGCCCCCGCCCCCTGTGCATCATTGACTAATGATTCCAAGAACCACAAACACATTTCTCTCTGCAAATAGCTCCATTTGACATGAGGGTGGTTGATTTAATGCATGTTAAAGGTGAGCCTGTGTCAGTAACCATGTTCTTGGGGACAGTCCCTCACACCCCTTCATGCAGTTTTCTAGGTTCATCCAGAGTCTGAACTCCAGTGGGGTTTGTTTTTGTTGTCATTCTTTGACTACATGAAAAATTAAGTGCAAGATTTTTTTCATATACACTGTAAAATATGAGTGTGACCTTGGTAGAAATGACCAGCTCAAAGAGATATTTTTGTTCTGGAAAGCAGGGAACTACATCTCCCACAGTTCTTCCCTGGTATTTTTAGCTGAGGCTGCTTATAGAAGGTGAAGAATGGCATTAACCTTGCCATCTTGAAACTTCCTGTCTGGGCAAATCACCATGACCTTCTAACACTCACACTGCCCAAGTCATCCTACTTAAGCCTCTGTGGCATACTGTGTACACCGGGCCATTCCTGAGGTAGCCCTGCAGATTTCCTGGACTTTCCTCCCCACCCTTATACATGTGCATGCCCACATATGTGCATGAATACATATGTATACATGCATATCGTTGTGCACATATACACATATACACATATACAGTTGGTTCTAGAGTTTTGTGCCTTGGAAAGCTCCTCTCCTGTATTTTACTTTCTTAACCCCTAATTCCAGCCTTGGGGTCACCTTCTTGGCCACTTTCTGACATTACACTCTCCAACCTCAGGCTGTGTAAGGCACCTTCCTCTGAGTTCCCAGAATGCACTCATGGTATTCTGGGAGACACCCATTAGACTAACTTGAAGGCATGTTTTGTTTCACTTTGTGCCTATCAGTGGGTAGAGCACATGCTAACACATATGCTTAATGCATGTCTCCTAAATGACAGAACAAATGGATGAGTGAATTACGAGTGGTGTGCTTATATCAGATGAAATAGCATCTTTCTCAGCCTTGCTGGTGCCAATGGGTCAGTTTCTCAATCTACAGTCTTCAGATAGTTTCATCAGAATCTTCTGGAAAACCTATGAAAATGTGATTTCTAGGGTCTATTGAGTTGATTCACATACATGATTGATTCACATACATGCTAACTTTTTGAATAAAAGCTCAAGACCCTCAAGTCCAGGTTTGCAACATTCAGAAATACCCTGCTAGAAACCCACTCCAATTTTAATCAATTGCTAATGAGCAGATTCTTAGTGAATGTGGATTATGGTAGACATTGTGCTTTCCAACAGTCTTTAAGACTTGTAATGGGTTTCACATTACACTGGGACAACAAAAAAGATCAAAGCCATTGCTATTTCCACATGCTCTCCCAGCCTGCAGAGAAAGGTGGGCAGCTGAGCTGTTTGCAGGTTCCCTTGTGGAAGTGGCACAAGCAGGCAGGCAGGGGGCATCCCTGCTCCTTGTCTCAATCTGCAAAGATGTACTTAGATAAAGAGATCCATTCACTGCATTTCTTTTCATGTTTGCTAAATTGATATACACTATATGAATAGTATCCTGTTATTGTCTTAATATGCATTTTTAAATGATTAGTATGACTAAATACTTCAGCTGAATGAGATCAAGGTAGGGAAAGTAGAGACCAGAGATTATGGGGAGCCAACACAAATGTAATTTTTTTAAGTATTTATTTTCTATTATAGGTGGACACGATACCTTTGTTTTATTTTTATGTGGTGATGAGGATCGAACCCAGTGCCTCATGCATGCTAGGCGAGTGCTCTACCTCTGAGCCACAACCCCAGCCCCCACAAATGTAATTTTTATAGTCTATTCCCTTTTTTAATACTTAACTTTTGTCTCAATACTCTTACATTTTGTTCAACACATGAGTATACATTTGGCCCTCCAGATCTTCAGGTTCGGCATTCATGCATCTTCAGGAACCAAGTGCTAAACAAAACTATTTTTAAAAATATCATGCCAGTACTGTACAGGT